CCAAAATATAATAAACTTGAAAGTGATATAATTCCTGCAATAATATGTCTTAAAGTTGGCTAAAATCCAATATCACAAATTAATAATTTTTTTTTTTTAATAAAAAATAAAAAACAAAAAAAATTAGATATAATATAATTTTTTTTTTAAATTTTGTATAAATTTATTGTTTAATTCATAAATATATCAAATAACAATTTAATGGTTTAATAAAATTTGTTCCTTTTGTTTTTAGTTTAAATATTTATTTAAAATTTGATTTTATAAATATTTTAATTATTTGATTCAGTTTAGTTGATTTGATTTGATTTGATTCGTCAAATATTTGATAATATTTTGATTCAGTTTGATTTGGTTAGTCAAATATTTGATTTGATTCAATTTTGCAGAATCCTAAATCTGACAAATAAGCCCTTACAATCAGAAAACATATCACAAGATATACATGAAGAATTAAATATTGTAGATAAAAGTGATTATACATACATATCAAAGAAAATCAGTGTAGCTGAATCATTAGATGAGAAAGAGAAAAAAAAAACATAAAAGGACCAATGAAACAAGTATTTAAAGAATCCACTAAGAGTATGAAAAGAATTAAGAGCTTGTGAAGGAGCATATATAGCAAATAGAGTAGAAGAAATTTGAATATTGTACCTGTAAGCACTTCATACCATAGCGTAAGATATTTGCGTTCCTATTGCTATAAGATGTAACTATCAAAATATGATATACTTCACCCTCTTCAACAGAAACTCTCAATTTCATAATTGATCCATTAAAGTTTTTCACAAATAGTAATAATTAACATCAAATCTAGCGGATACCACAATCCATATATTGGCATTCCTTTCGAAATAAAGAAATTATCAATTGTTGCAACATTTGATAATTAAGAGCATGTTCAAGGGTAATTTGTTGTGTCCTGTTTAATTACCGCGAAATGTTTTCATTTGTGTTCCATAATTTTTTTTTTTGAATTAAAAAAAGAAATCACCAAGTCTACAAACGAATAATAAGATTTAAAAATTGAAATTAAATATTATAAATAATTTAATTTTGAAAAAAATTTGTTGAAGTAAAATGATACATAGAAACTCTCGATAATTTTTTTAATTATTTAACATAAAACGTTCAATGTTACTCTAGAAGAGAAAAAGCGATTACATACACAGTAATTAAAAAAAAACATAAAGAATGAGATTGCTTACATTCATTATTGGACTTTGAAATTTCTTTACCGGAGGGAGGACAAGCTCATAAGTTCATCCTAATAAACATATTATCGCCGTCTTAAAAACTTGATACGATGCATTAGGTCCTTGAGATTGACCAGGAATTGGCATGTGGTAAGTAATTGATCCTTAATCTGATAGGATATTAATTCATCTTGATAGATATCTTCTCGTGATTTTGATGAAAATGACGGCAACGACTCATGAATTTCAAAATAGTATAACCATGGGATATTCAGTATTAACACCTCGTTTGATTTAAGAAGTAGCCGAAGGATAACTCATCTCCTGAGGTAAATACAAAAAAAATCTTTAGCACTAAATGTAATTTTAATTGTAAAAACAGATAATTCATATTCTTACCAGTACAATAGAAACTATTATAATTAGGGTCTGAAGAGTGGTAATCTCGAGTATATTAATAATTATTAATAAAAATGTAACAGTATATATAGGAGCTATTGATAATTAAAAGAATATATATTGATAAATTATTGAAATTACATCGTCAATAAACAATAAACTTGACTTATTATATACTTACTTTTTTTTAAAGTGAAACGTTGGTCTATGGCAGTCGCCAGGAAAGGAAGGGATGGTTCTGACAGTACAGATGGTACGGATTGTAATATGAGTAATGGGGATTTTGTTCACGACAGGAAGTCGATGAAGATTGTAATATGAAAAAAAATTACTATGGTGGCTGTAATTACTAATGCGACTGATATGCTGTAAAAGTGTTTGGGAAATTATTGGAGAAACTGGATCTTTAGTAATGATACCAAGAATTTTTATTGATGGAAGTGCTTTCTCGTGGGTAGAATTTCGTTCGAAGGATTGGAAAGAAATATTGATTGAACAGGAATTCGTTTCGGAGAGGAGGGTGACGTAGAAAAAACAGTAGAAATAGAAAATAAATTTGGGTTTGGTGTGGCCATCTCAATTGTTCAATACGATCATTATTTAGATTATATAGATTTACAATCCAACTAATTATGATCAATAATATTAATGTTAATAATTTTTTTTATAAAAAAAAAAAATACTATAATAAAATTACTTACTGACGACGAATCTCATCTAGAATGTATGGACTTCATCAATTATATTGATTAGGAAGAAATGGAATGAAGTAAGTGTCAAATTGTAGCGCCGCATCTACATCAAATCAACCTCATGGTGCTCAAATAATATGGATATAAGTCTATTTTCTTATACAAATGAAAGTAAAAGAAGTATTATATACTATTGGTGATGTCCATGAACTCTCGAACATCATAAAACATAAAATGATTAAAGATAAATGACCTCATTGAGTAAATAAATATTTATTTGGATGAAATCAAAAAACAACTTTTCAACGAGTTTTAAATTACCTAAATGGAAGGCCGTGACTTATTAATAATATCAAGAACTTTTCCTTTGTATTTTGACGAAATTTTCTAGCTATACTTTTATAGAATAAAGTTTAGAAAGGTCAATTATTTAATATATGATAATTACTGAGCTAAAAATAAAGACTTACATATTGTTCCTTTTACGTGTTATTCGGTGAGATAACAACTTTTATTGAACTGTTCAAAGGATTCGAATCTTGGCATACTCATTTATACTCGTGTAAATATAGAAGAATTGTTTCGATCAAAATATTCTCTCGTTGCATCTCAACGAACTTAGAGAATGATATGACTTTTTTTTCAATCAAGACGCGAAAAAAAAAAGATATATGAGACACGTGATTTTTATAGACGGATGTTCATGTTACGTCCCGAGTTACATTTATCAAAATTTAACCTTTATATATATTACTCACACTAATAAAAGTCGTGTAATTAAAAGAGTGCCAACAACGCGTTTAGAATAAACCATTCTAACGACATGAGAGCAAATGCTAAATCCACATTTTAAGGTATTAGAACTTCAAATTTAAACGTTTTAACGCGTGTTTTGGTTTCGGATACCAAATTTTATAATAAATTAATTTCAAAATGAATATTTTTAATATACTTTATCAAAGATAATCACAAATGGGACTTCGTCAATAGAAACGCACCATCTTGCTCAAGATGATGCGTTTTTATTGACAAAGCCCAAATATGTTTAGAAAGAACAACTTTATTTAATAATAAATTTAATAAATTCCCAATTACAATTTCCTAATTTTAACAAAATCGTTAATATGTAATAATACTAATAATTTGTTCATCATTTTTTACATTTTAAAACTACTACAGTTTAAATTATTTTTTAAATTTCCTTCTTTCTTCATTATATAAGGTACTGACTCTGTACGGCGACCCGTCCACTTGCTCGTTCATTCATTTGTGTTGATACGACGCGTTTAATAGAGGTCGATCGTCCTGAACAGCACGCCGAGCGAAAATAATTTCACTAATCCCTTGAGTAATCATGTGAAATAAAAATGTTTAAAATTTGGACATTTAAAGGTCCTACACATTGATACTATTAAGTATATGACCATTAAGTATATGATTCAAAGGTATTATAAGTTTTTGTTTGTATTAAAAGATGCAGGTTTGGTAAGTTGGCAAAAATTTATATTATAAAAATAAAAAATATATTTCTAAAATGTTCGGGTATATTTTTTATTTTTTTTTTTTTATTTTTTACTTTTTTATTTTTTTATTTTTTTTTTAAAAAAAAAAAAAGTAGCAAACAATAGATTTTTAATAATCCGTCTTTATACCTTTGAATTTCTATGTGACGTACATGACAGAAGATTTTATTAGTTCAAGCACAATATGCGTACAACGTTTAAGCCACCAGTTCTGTATAATGATTTTTATTTTATTTATATGTTGATAATCGAAGTACGAACAATAGACATGAAAACGAATTTTGGATCGGTGCAGGTGAAATTTTTTCGATTTAAGTATCGTTTTTTTTGTTGATAAGAATATGGTTCTGCAAATTTGTTAACAAAATCGAAATTTTATTACCACTTTAGTTTTCGATTTTATTAGATTGGGATGCAATTAGGTCTTAAATTTTCAGAACACCAATTTTCAAGTAATATCATGTATGTTTTTTTTTTTTGATAATGTAAATCTTTGTTTATGTTGAATTACTAATAGTTTCAATGTAGAACTGGGATAGAACTGGGATCATGGGAACTCGATTCCTTAAGTATAGCTTCATACAAGAACCTTGTTAATAATATTCAAGTCTAATTCATGATTTTGATATTATTATCAAGGCCTTTTTGTGAAGATATAGATGAAGGGGCATGCATCTTTTAAAAAAATAAATAATTTCTTAAATTTAAAAAAACAAAATATAATGTATATTCATTATAAAAATCTTTAAATAAACCCAGAATTTTCGCGCGATTCTTTTAATTATAATATATGTCATTGCGACTTGTACATTTTCACATTTGGTTGATATTTGTATCTGGTAATGAAAATAAGCATTAAGCGTATAAACGTTCAAGCGATTTCATACATTTAATAAGTCATCTCCCATTTACTACTTGGCATAATTATGATTAAGTTATAAAAAATTCATTAAATTCACGTTTGTAAAAAAAAAGCATACAAAAAAACAAATTCTTACCTTACCTCAAAGATCTTTGGCCTTTTGGACTAATAGACTAGACCATTGGACCATTGGACTTGGTCCATTCCAATTCAATATATATATATATAATTTTTTTAATTAATCATAAGAATGTAATTAATACTGTACATAATTTGAAAATTTAATCAATTTAATTAAACATAGCTGAGCTCTCCTAAGCTTTCCATAAAAATACTTTTTTACTTAAGCAAGCGGATTACTAAAAAACTAATACTGCTCGATAAGCTCTAGATCAATCAGCAAATAATCAATCTACAAGATCGCTCTGTGTTATATAAAAGATGTGTTACACGGGCGACGAATGTTAGCTGTAAAGAAAAATTTCATATATAGAAAAGTTTGAAATAAGTTCACATTTCTTTATGAAAAGCTAAAAAATTATTCTAGGGATTCTGATGATTATAAAGCTCTAATCATAACTATTCTCAAGATATCAAAGAAGTAGGGACTATGGATAATAAGGTTTGGCATATTACAGGTAAATTTTCGTGCGCCTGCTTCGTAATGCTTGCAACCTCAAACTTCAAATTATACCCCCATTCGTATTTCACAATTTTGATGGTTTGTGAATCTGTAGGACAATCTATGAAGATAGCATGCAATTCATAAACACTAGTTTGGCTAGTCACTATTACGAGCCAACATTTCAAAGGTTATATTACCCTTGAGCAATTTTATCTTTGCAAAAATAACAAAAGGATTCTTTATGTTTATATACTTAACGTTTATTTATATACTTAAATTTAGAATAAAAAGATTGGAAAGAAAATGAAAAAATACTTAAATTTAGAAGAAATTTAGAATAAAAAGATTGGAAAGAAAATGAAAAAGTACATAAAATTAAATAAAATTATTAAATAACTAATTCAAAATAAAAAAATAATGAACATTCTTAGTTCAACCAGCAACAGGAGTATTGCTGGGAGCTCTTTACACCATGTTCATAGAGCCAACTCAATACCAGTATTGTGACATTGCTGGAATTCTGCAACTTATGACCGGCATATTTTTGTTACTTTTCCCAGCAGCTGCGGTGCGTAACCTTTAGGTGAATGTTATAAGCAAAACGTAAGTTATATTTTGTTTTTTGACATTATGACTGATATTTTATAAAATAATACTTGAAAAACTTACATTTTACTTTCAATACTTTTGACATGTTGGTTGCATGTATAGCGTAAACGCCAGATGAAAATTGGAAAGTATTTTGTATTTTTCTTAAAAAACTTTCTCAACAAAGGTGTCATTTTACTCTTTCTTGTTAAGGGATTGTATTTGCTTTTAATATATAGTTTCATTTCGCAGGAAGAAGGGGGAAAAGGTAGTGGACAAATTCTTGGAAAAAGGTAAAGGTTTTTATAATAAAATTAATGACACAGCGCATGTGACTTCTTGGTGGATGACCTTTATGGAAGAATCCCAAAAAAGAGCGACCGATTTTATTTAAAGCTTTAGCAGTCTTAAAATAGTATGAAGGAGAAAGGCCATTATTAGTCCGGAACGCTATATATTTCTAGACGCATTGACTCAAGATGTGAGGAGATGTCCCCGCTCAAAAATTGAGGTGATACGTGATTGGTTACTTGCATTACACTTATCACATACACTAAGTGACATTCTACTAGATCTGTTGGATTCAAATGGAATAAGAGATCAAACAAAAACTAATATGAATTAAATATGTGAAATCCTTCAAAAACAAACTTTGATAGTAAATTACTCTTAATACCTTATCATTAATTAATAAAAGTATCCAAGAAATGAAAGATATTTAATTTAATTACTTAAGACCTATACAATAAATAATTTTCTTTAAATAACACAAATAGATGGACTCAAATTTCACTTGTTAAATAATGTAGGCACGACTTTTTCCATGTCTTAAAAGCTGGATGACCTGAACCCAGTTGCCAAAAAAGCGATTTTGCGGGTTCAATCATGTATTACATTACATATATTACAGTATAATTGTTCATGTTTATTTACTTTAGCAAGAGAAATCTAGAAGTTGCTTACTAAAAATAATGGAAAGAAACCAAATAATACAAAAATAGATTAAAACGAAATTATTAACACGAAATAAAAACTTAAAATGTAACCTGTTAAAGGTATTTGTAACTTCCGTCCATGTCACTTTCGGATATATCTCTAGCCACAATGCCAACAATACTTCGTCCTGCTTTCTGCACAATCTTCAGAATCTTCATTTTCCCTCTTTTTGAATGGAATTTTATTCTTAACAGTTTATCCGAAAAATGTTAGAATGGTTTCATAACTCCAGCAACATCGATA